GAGTTGCGGCGGCGGCGGCGGTGGCGGCGATGGCGGGAGGTTCGGGCAAAAACCTGAGGTTTGGGCGGTGAGGGGGCAACAAGCACGGCGGGAGGGGGGGGGGGGGGGGGGGGGAGGGGGGGGGGAGGGGAAGGCACGGCGGAGAACTTATTACAGTTGCGGATACTGGGGAGACAGACGAGTACACGACAGTCAAGGCGACGTATGCGTACTCGGCCGCCAATGCGGATGAGCTCACGTTCAATGTTGGCGACCTGATGTACGTGTCGGACATGTCTGACGCCAACTGGTGGGTCGGCTTCCTCGGCGACGTCGAGGGTTTGATTCCGGCATCGTATGTGGAGATTGTGGAGGAGGCAGCGCCAGCAAAGCCTGCGGTCACATCGAGCGCGCCGGGCGGTCGCCCCGCCTGGAACAGGGGTGGGGGCGCAGCAGCGGGCGGCGGGGGCGGGCGGTCGTTCACGCCGGCAACAACCTCGGCGATGGCGGTCACGTCGGGCGCGGCCAAGGAGGGCTTTATGAAGAAGCAGGGGAAGCTGCGCAGCAAGTGGGTCCAGCGGTGGTTCAAGCTCGAGGGCTCGTGCCTGGTCAACGGCAAGGATCAGTTCGCCACAAACACCAAGTCGTGGCTCCTGGACCGCTCCTCCTCGGTCCGGATCATGCGGCACCACGACCCGACCAAGCCGCCTGTTCTTGAGGTCCGCAACCCCAACTCGACTGGCCAGAAGTTGCGCTACTTCCAGGTCACCTCGGAGCAGGAAGCGCAAGAATGGGAGGCTGCCATCCGGTCCGCCATCGGGTAGCCGACTCCAGCCGGCCGCCTTCTCCACCCTCTCGCTCTCTGCCACACACACTCTCACTCTTCGCACCCACTTCACCCCCGTCGCCGCGATGGGCATTGCTGCCCATCGACATCGTCGGAACACCACGCAGGGTCACTGCTGTCCCGAGCCACCTCACCCCACACCACCACGTACCGCAGCCCTTCCCTATCACGTCAGCAACACCTCGCTGTCTGGCTCTGTACTTTGCACATCAAACACGCACACACGCCCGCGTCCGCCCGCCCGACCAGGTCGGCCAAGTCGGCCAAGTCGGCCCAGCCGTCCCCCTCCACCACACCCCACCTCGCCCCACACCCCACCAAACCACATCCCACCATCCACACCACCCACACCCAAGGGGATGAGTCAACCTTCCGAGGTGGTGATTCTCTCGTCCCCTCCCCCTCCCTTCCCTTCCCCGGACATGTCGTCCATGGCGAGTCGGCGGGAACAGAGACGAACACACGGTCTGTCGCCGCGGTCACACCGTCCCTCCCCTGCTCCTGCCCCTACTGCTCACGTTGCTGCTGCTGCTACATCGACTGGTGCTGCACTCGCTCCTCCTTCTGCTGCTGATCCCATGGCGGCGGCGGCGGCGGCTGCCCGGCGATACGAGTCTAACATGGCCAACCTCATCGCTGCCAATCAGTGCTTGTCCCCACCCGCAGCTCCGCTTACGGTCCCGTCTGTGGATCAACTTCCGACGAGCTCGGTGGCGCACCAAGTTTCCTCTGCTGCCGACTTGTCGCCGCTGGCCTCTACTGTCGCTGACGACGAGAAGCCCGACGACGACGACGACGACGACTCCGGCTCGACGTGCTCGATCTGCTTTGAGCCGTGGACCAACCAGGGCCGGCACCGAGTGACCGCGACCAAGTGCGGACATTTGTTTGGTCGGGCGTGCATCCGCAAGTGGCTCTCGTCGCACTCGTCGTGCCCCACGTGCAAGAAGCGAATCCGTGCGACAGACCTGCGGTATTTGTACGTCACCAACATCTCTGTGGTGGACAATGCCGAGAAGGAGCGCGCGCTGCGGCTCATCTCCAAGTGCCGGTCAGAGAACGAGAAGATCAACCGCGAGCTCGGCAAGGTTCAGCTCGAGAACCGAAGCCTGGCAACCAAGCTCGAGGCGGCGCAGCGGGAGATTGTGGCGCTGAAGGCTATGATTGCTGAGAGACGGCCAGGAGCACATCCGCTTGCGGCGGCGGCAGGAACTGGTGGCCTTGCGCGCGCATCGACAGCGGGACTGCTCTTTGAAGAGGTGCTCTCGCTCCCGCTCTCACTGGCGGCGCGGGTGATGGACCTCTCGCCGGCCGGCGATGTGCTGCTGGTATCGTCCGCCAACGCGCGCGGGGCGGGCAAGGCGCACGGCTTTACGCGCATCTCGCTGGTCAACTCGCGGTTTCAGCAGTATGTGGGCGTGCATGACAAGGCTGTGCGCGACGTGGGGCTCTCGCAGCACGACCATGATCTCGTGCTCTCGGTCGGGTTTGACGCGCGAGCAACGCTCACCTCGCTGTCGGCCAACAGCCCGGTGCTGTCGTGTGTCCTCGACGGTGGCGGATGGTCCGCGGTGTGGCACCCGGAGCAAGGGCAGTACTTTGCGGTTGGCACCTCGTGCGGGACGGTGGCGCTGTTCGACACGCGTAAGACCAACGCGCCAACTCTGCATCTTGCGCTCCCGTCACGTCAGCCTGTGCACTCGCTCGCGTTTTCGCAGGTCGGCGATGACTTGGTTCTTCTCGCGGGCACGTGCTCGTCGGGCGTCTCGGCCATCCCGCTCGGGGCGACCGGGTTTGGGACGGCAGTGACGATCACACCGCCTTGCATCACGACGGCAGTGGCGGCGGGAAGCGGGACGAGCAGCGTGCTACTCTCGTACCGTGCGTCGTCATCGTCGGGCCCGCTTGCGGCACATCACGAAGTGTACGGCCTCGAGCAAGCGACGCTCGCGTGGCAGTCGCAGACGACCCTCCCTGGTCCGGCGTCGGCGCGGGTGATGGCACGGCCGTCGCTATTTACACTCGGGGGTTGCCAGTTTGCTGCAGTGAGCAACGAGGCGGCGCAAACAGTCCAGGTGTGGGACGTGGCCAGGCAGCAGATGGTGCAAGAGCTTGCGTCTGGTCACACCTCGCCGGTCCTCGACACACGGGTGGAGAGTGACGGCTACGGCGGGCTGCTGCTTGGGGCGGTCTCGAGCTCACGGGCAATGCTCTACCGCTGGAACGGACAGCTCACGACAGAGGGGCAGTGAGCGAGGCTGGGAGCAGCGGCAGCTTCGCGCGCCACCGCAGGCCGGTGACGGTGGCGGCGGCGAGGGTGGAGACGACAACGAGGGCCTTGGTGACGAGCCAGAGCGCCGAGCGCGTCGGCGGGACGGATGCGGCGCCGTACGGCTCGGGGATGTCAACAAAGTCTGGGAGCGGAACGCCCATGCGCGAAACAACGTCAAGCGCAGAACAGACGCCGTTCTCGAGGAGCGGCAGGCCGTAACGGGCGTAGGAGCCGGCCATCCACACGCCGCCGTCGCCTTGCAGGGCAGAGAGGCCGTTGGCAGCCTTGCTTGCGGTGGGGCACATGACTGGGCGTGAAAAGGTGGACGAGGTGATGACTGAGTCGGGCGCCGGATTTGCCAGCGGGTTCCAGGTCTGGAAGATGTTGACCTCGTGGTGGGCAAGAGCGGGATGGAGCTGGTTGAGCCACATGGTGGCCATGGGGCGCGGCGAGCCCGAGTCAGAGAGGAGGACGTTGATGGGCGACCAGGCGGAGCGGTCGGCGGGCATGAGTGACGGATCTGTGTGGACGACAACGTCGGAGGTTTCGGAGCCCCAGAGCGAGAGGATGCTCTTGAGCTCGGGCGAGGGGTCCTGGAGGAGCTTGAGGACGTGCTCGGGCTGGGTGGCGATGATGACATGGTCAAACTCGACAGACTGGGCGTCGCCGCCGGCGATCGAGAACTCAACGACGGGCTTGGTCTCGGTGCACCCGCGCTTGACAGCGGTGACGGCGGCGGAGCAATGGACGTTGGCGATGTTGGCGGAGAGGGCGGCGACAATGGCGTCTGTTCCGCCGAGAGCACGTTTGACGCCGCGGCCGCGGCCATTAGTAAAGGCGCCAACCACCATGTCTGCCGGGTACTGGCGCATGGAATCGATGTCGCAGGTCATGATGATGGCCATGATGGGGAAGAAAACGCGGTGCTGGAAGAGGTCCGAGTAGCCGCGGCTGTCGAGGTACTCGCCCATGGTCAGGCCGTCGAGGCGGCCGGCGTCAAGATCTAGCTTGGCCGACGAGATCCACCTGTAAAAGTCCTTGGCGACGGCCCAGCCCGAAGTGGAGAAGAGCGAGGCAAAAGGGAGATACGGGAGCGAGAAGGCGCCGATGAGCCAGTTGGCGTAGCGAAAGTAGACCTCGCCCGACTCGAGAGCCGAGTACGACGCGGCGTAGTTACACATCTCCCACTCGATGCCGAGTGAGGTCAGGATGGCCGCAAAGTTGCGATAGTGTCGCTCGTTGAAGACCCGGAACGGCACGTCGACCGTCACCTGGCCGTCCGCCGTCTCCACCGTGTGGGCATGCGCACCCATGCCAACTTCAGCCAGCGACTCAAACAGCGTCACCTCATGCCCATTCTGCATCCCCCTCCCGTTGTTTTGCCTCTGTAAGTCGGGCGCCATGCAAGCCCCTGCCCCCTATCCCTCCTCCCCGGCCATGACCATGCCCACGCCCACTCACCGCCGGTCCGACAGACTCACGTCATCCTCGGCCCTTCCACCCCCCCCCCCC